TTAACTCACGTGTGTTCTTTACATCTTCACCCCATGGTCCTCTCTCTCTCTTATATATTATATATATATATATATATATATATATATATATATATTAATCAATTCATCTCAAAGCGATAATGCCACTATGGGGCTCCTGTATGAAAATGAAGAGAATTTAGAACCAGAGACGCAATCGTAAACAGGAAAGAAGGGATAAATATCTACTCCTTTTCAAGAGACCAGGGAGGAGTGTGAACTGAATGACAGCTGACACCATCTAGTCATGTTGAAGGAAAAATAAATAATAGTAAATAAAACTACAGAGTTTTTGGCAGAGACATTAGAAGTATAAAGTTGAAGTAGTCTTTAGAAGGAACTGGTAACCCAATCCTAAACAGGAAACAAAGTATAAACCTTTACTCCTGTTCAAAAAACCAGCAAATCAGTAAAACTACTATTATTATTATTATTGCTCCAGGTTTGGACGTGTAACGATATAGCCACAAATGTTCATCTGGGGACATCTTACTTAATGGAATTTACAAAACGTTGAAATGCATGAGTTTGTTTACAGTGTTAGATTGGTTGTTGTTTTGAATGTGCAATGTACCTAATGCCATGATAGACGTATCTTTTGTATGAATGTAGAAGAGAGATATTCTAGGAATGTGTCAGCCAATGGGGGGGGCTAGCTAGAATATTCGCAGAGACACTAGTCCCTGTAGTTAAAGAAAACTTACCATACATATATACAAGAGGGAAATATTGAAGAAAAGAGTGAATTTTTTTTTTTTTTTTTTTTCTTCACTGAAACACTGACTTGTTCAGTCAAGTTAAAATACAGAGGGAAGGATTATTTTGCAGAACTGAAAGAATTTTAAACAACAATTTGAAATTTATACCAGTTTAAAAGAAGAGGACTAAAAGTCTTAGTTTACTGTGGCTGAAGAAGCGATAGGCATATTTCAAGGATTTTCTTTTAATAATGAAAGTGAGAAGATAAACATGTACATGGTCATGCAATGATTTTGAAGACTTTTATATTGGAGACATCCATGAGTCCTATGAACCATACATATTTTATATGCACCATCAAAACCCAGTTGTGACAATCCTGTAGGAGAGGAAGGTTTGATTCTATCTGGATCATGGCCAAAGGATGAAGTTTTTGAAGTTGAAGCTTCTAACCTGATCAAACAAGAACAAATGAACAAGAGCAATTTTATATAAACTGTCAAGAACCAGTTGTGTCACTGAGATTTTGACATCCACTTAAAAAAAGAAGGTTTTATTCTATCTCATGTATTTCTGTTTTATGGCTGGAAGTTGTTTATTATTTTTGTTGTTAATTCTCAAGAGCAAAATAACGACGATAGCTTTGTACCACACTTAACCAAGACAAACGCCCTAACGTTGCCAAAAATCATCAAAGTGTCGCTTCCATCTAGAAACGATTTTGAACGGGAAATTGAATGCATGCAAGCATTTACATTTTAAACCAGCTGTTGTACCAAGGATCGATATATTACCCTGTTTGGACTAATCCAGTACCAGAGAGGGGACGGGATCCTGGTGGTTGAGCAGGTCGTGATCCCTGTGTAAAGCGGTCACAACCCTGCAACACACCACTTTGGCCTTTAGATGGGTGGTCGGAGAGGTCCAATCCAATCAATCAGCTGGTCATGTCAAGCCCCGTCATATAATCCACCCCAAACCTATAACTTATACTCCTCTTCCCATCCAAAACTAACACCTACCCCTAAATAGATGATAGAAGGCGGTGGCTGAGGGTCAATCAATTTGGGAGAAAAAAAGGATCTGACACACTTGCTAAACCTTCACAGCCGTAATACTTGGATAATGGAAACAAAGGAACATGCGTGCTCAAAGACTCCTCCCAAAGAGAGTATATCATTCATGTAGCCTCGACATGGCAAGGCGAATGGGTTTCCCCCTTGTCATGTCCCAGTACTGGACTCCGCAGTGCGTAGGGAGCATGGAAGATGAATCAAAATAAAAACAATCAGTGGAAAAAAAGAAATCTTCCAAGAGACCACATGTGGATAATGACTCGGAAACAGAAAATGATAAATGAAAACTTTCCACGATTTATTGTTCTAGAAACAATAAGCAACAGAGCACTAACTGAAATATCTCCATTTAAAATCCAAAAAGCAATATCAAATATAATCATACCAAAAAATGTAAAAAAGCTACCAAATGGAACATTATTAGTGGAAGTGGACAAAAAAGATATATGCGGACACATTAATAAGACAAAAAAAACTACAAGAAATAGAAATAAAGTCCTACCCACACCAAACCCTAAATTTCTCAAAGGGTGTAGTAAAAAGCAAGGAGCTCTCCCTGTGCACTCTAGAGGAGATAAAAATAAAACTCCAAACTCAAGGTGTTACAAATGTCAAAAGAATCTGTGACGATTTTAGGTCGTCAGTAAGTGAAAGAGAAATTGAAAGTACACATGACAATAGCAGAGACAATGATGATGATGATGATGATGATGAAGGTGCCTAGAAACAGCGGCACGAGCAAGTTAAAAATAGAACAGAGTGAAATTTTGGCACCGAAATTGGATAAAAGTACACCAAAGGTGACAGCCCAAGTTCTAGGATATAGAGAGGAAGGAGACTTTCGCGCCAAAATCCATAAGTTGAAGAAGAAAGTCAGTTGCTGTTGGGATCTGCCAGAGTGAAGATCACCCACATAAACGCTCTGATACTTGGAAAAAGATTTATGTGCAACTCCGTTAACGTGAATTGAAGAAAGCGCAACATTAAGAAAACAATCCATGCAGAACATCAAAAGAAAAGGAATTGATGTTAGTACCAAGGCAAAGTTTGTATCTCAATTGAAGAGATAAAGATAAAAAGAAGAAGAAAAAAAGAGAAGAAACAAAAGGAAGGAGAAAAAGAAATCACACAACAATGAGGTTGGTCTCTCTCTTTTCATTGTGTAAATTAAATGTTTTTGGATTGTGTTTGCGAGCTATACATTCCTCTATCTGTTGGAAAGATTTGTGAGCCATAAGTAATAGTATTCGGAGAACCGCCATGAAATTTGTATGAATGTCTTCATGCTCCGAGAATTATCGAAGCCTTAACGAAAACGTGAAGGTGCCATTGCCTTTTTGTCATCATTTGTAATATCAAAAAAAAAAGAGAAAAGGGAGGGATAAAGTGCCAACAAGCAGAAAAGTAATTAATTGACATTTTTTCTCTTACATTAGGAATATGAATGCATCCTGGCTGAGTTACCCAAAGATCGGTTCTAAATAAATGTTCGTCGTCTCTTCTTTTTATTTATTATTGTTGAAATAAAAAAAAAAGAAAGAGAAAGAATTGTTTTGTTTGTTCTTTTACAAAGGATTAAAAAAAAAAAAAATTCATTCACATACAGATTCTTTCACATACCTAAGCCCATAGTTGTTTATTTCGAGTGGATAGAAGGCAGGGTAGCCTCATACCCCACCCTGGAAGATTCATCTGCAGTGATGAGACAGTATGAAATAGGCGGTTGGCACGTCGCTCCAGGTAATTTCCCCTCTTACCGGCTGAGGCATATTTCTCAAAGGACATCACGTTGAGAAATAAAAATAAAGCCTAGAAGGAGAACGTTACAAATCAAAATAAAGAAAAATGAAGCAGAGATACAAACTAATACCTACATTATAACTTTCAACTCCCCACCAAATTCCGACAACAATTAAAATCGGATATGAAATTATAAAAGTGGAACAATACATACCAAACCCTCTTCAATGCTATAGATGCCACAAATTTGGGCATCACAGAGATTCCTGTAGAAATAAAAAAATATGTGGAAAATGTAGTGAAAAAGAAGCAGAACATAAAGAGAACTGCCCAAATGAGAGCCTATGCTCAAACTGTTTGGGAAACCACTCTGCTCTCTCAAAACAATGCAGTATATATAAACAGGAGAAAGAAATAATTAGAATAAAATACAAAAAAAATATATCTTTCTCAGAAGCATGAAAAGAAGTTAAACATAACATAAAAGAAAACACCTATGCCTCCATGGTACAAAAAGCAAATAAAATAAACAATGAAGATAAAAGATTCAACTGAAATAACAAATTTATATACGGAATTAAAAGCTTTTCTTGAAGAATTAAAAACCTTCTTGACCAAACTTAAATCAGATCAAAATAAAACTAAAACTCAACAACCCAAATCAAATGGAATTAACCCAGAAGAAGGCAAAAAACTCCGGAAAGAAAACATAGAACAAAACTCCAGCGAACCCTCTTCTTCCCAAACCAAGAAAATGAAAAATAAACAAAAAGACAGAAAAGTTACAGCAGAACAAGAAAACATTCGATCACGATCTAACTCGAAATCAAGAATCAATATATCAAATGAAAATAAATTTGAACCTATGGAATATATGGAAATAGAAGAGAATGAAAATAAACAAATTCCAAAACAAAACCAAAAATCTGACCGAAGGACATCACAAGTAGTTGAAGATAAAGGTTCAAAAAAACTCAAGGGCTGGAAAAAAAATTGGAGAAGACAAACTGTCGTGGAATAAAATCTAATTGCAATGACCTACTCATACTTATATCACTACTGCATCCAGCTGTCATCTGCTTACAGGAAACTTATTTACAAGAAAATGCTAACTTAAAAATTATTATAACCACAATACAGGACATAGAGCTAATGGAGGAATGTCAATATTGATTAGAAATGACATACCGCAAAGTAAAATACATGTACATAAAACTAAATTACAAGCAAAAGCAACACAAGTGACACTAGATAAAACCATCACAATTCTTTCCATTTATATACCCAAATAAAGTATTCCTGTTCGAGAATCCCAAATTGAAGATGCAGAGAAATTTATACGCTGAGGATTCAGCATGTGTTTAAAGAAAAAGGAAAACCAGAGAAGAAAGCATATACCTCTGTTACAAGTTGAATTGTGTAAAGAAAAGAAAATGGATATCCAGAGAGGAAGAAAGCATATACCCGTTACAAATTGAATTGTGTAAAGAAAGAAAAAGGAAAACCAGAGAAGAAAGTGTATACCTCTGTTATAAGCTGAATTGTGTAAAGAAGAAGAAGGAAAGAAAGAAGAAAACCAAAGAGGGGAAGAAAGTGTACATCCCTGTTGCAGTGAGTCGGGTTTGGAAACTGAACTGTCTACAGAAGAAAAGGAAGGAAAGAAAAAGGCGAAACAAAGAGAGGAAGAAAGTTTATACCTCTGTTACAGCCGGACAGTGTGTGAATTTGTGTTTGTATCAAGAAAAGAAAAGAAAGGACATTGATATAAAAAAAGAGAATGGAATATAAAAGATAAATAATCATATTTTGGACCCGTAGTAGAAAGATATACATATATCCATGAATATTATGTTCTTGCAAACACCTTTCCACATGTCAAAACAATAATTGTAACTCCTATCCCATCTCTTTTGTGTATGCGTTGACTTCTGCATTCAATTCATAGTAATTCATACTTATATTTTTGTATGTTCGGGTTCAGTTGAATCCATTTGGAGTTAGGCGAATTTTGATATCCCAACGTAAGTCTTGAGATCTGGTCGTCGGATGTTTTAACTCATACTTATCTGTTCTTTTATTTTGATATTTGTATATTGGTACATATTAAAATTGTATCAAAAATCGCTAAGCCTTATAGTTCATCCTTGTATTGTGGATCAGTATTCATGTTGAAAACGAAGCGGACCTGGGAAAGATTACTGTTCGATTATCCCAATCGAACAGTGGTCTTAAAAATATTTTTGTTTACCAATTGTCCATTGTCACGATCTGGGAGAGATAGCTTGTATCTCTCCACAGGTGTGAGAATGTATATATCTCCTAGTCAGCGTATGATCGCCTTATAAACCCATTCGTTGACTGGGGCATATGACACCGCTGATATGAGAGGATTGTTGGATGGACCCAGGGTTTCGGCCTTTCTGGGGGGATCCAAAGGTTGGAAGAGTTATTCATAGGAGAGTATGCCAACAAGGGAATGGCAATTGAGGCCATGAGGGGCCTTGTGAAGTTGAGCCAGCTAAAGACTGTTGGATTATGGAATAGAAGAATTGAAGAGAAAGAGGCAGAAGAATGGGAGGAAACCCCCAATAGAAGAGAGTGGTCAATGAGGCACAGGTTTTATAAGCCCACACCAGGGAGGTACGGATTAATTTGCCTCCATGAGGTTCAGCATTTTTTAAATCCATTTCTCTACCCCATATTACCAGGTAGAGGAAAAATATGGAGAAAAAGATTCAATTGTAGAATTATTTAACAAAAACTTAGATAATTGCACAGAATTATGGGAGCCGATAGTGAATAAGTTCCCTGATATTACTCTAGATGAGATGCCAAAAACTATTGGGACTGATAGAGAGAATTAATATGTATTGGTTAAAAGTGAGTTGGAAAAAGAAGGTATGGCTTGGGAGGATAGTAAGTAAATCATCGAAACCCAGACTACGTCTTGCTCCTAAGACCAGTATTGGAGTCCATAAATACGAGTGCCCTTGAAGTCACAGGCAGTTGACAGTACAAGTTCAGAGTATTGCCAGAAAGATCGCTGATCCACATGATTGCCTGCTGGTATATATATATATATATATATATATATAATTATTTATTTAAAAATATGATTAAATAAATAATTATATTTATGCTCTACTTTTGTATCGAGCACTATTTTTTAAAAATAATGACTAAAATACTAAGGAACTTTGGATTATTTACCAAACCAGTTCCTTCCTATTTTCTATATATTTTCACAAATATATATATATCTCCTATGTTTTTTTTTTTTTTTTTTGCTTCATTCAATTTTTAATATCAACAATATGAGAAAATAAAGTATTTTACTTTTCTGATTTCCTGTGTCTCATTAATTTTAGGGTCAAAAATAGGTTGTTTTTTGTTTTTTAGAGCCTAAATGTGCATATTTCAAACCTTTTGAGTAAAAATAACCCCATCATATTATATACCGTTGGAAGCGAAATTTTGAGTAGATTCCAAATATTTCATTTTCAATTCATTTCCATTTCATAGGAAAAAGTTAATATGCTTTAACCTACTTTCAGAAACCTTGGGATGAGATTTTTGACTATTATGTTTTTCACTGGCATGAAGGTTAACATTGTCTTTTTTTCCATTTTTTAGGTAATCAAGTAAAAAAATGCAAACAAAAAAAACTCAGATTTATAAGGAAATTATGACTTTAGAAGGAATCAGAAACTCAATCCTAAACAGGAAAAGTAATGGATTACAGGAAATAATCCCTATTTCCAACACAATTACATACCCACACACGATATTAAAACACGTCTAAATTTTTTTATACCCAATAACAATATTATAAACATGTCAAAAAGATTCCACAATACAATTCATCAGTTTAAATCTAAGTGTCTGTTGTTTAGAAATAACATCACTATGTGAAATTTTTGACCAATCAAGGAAAGCTAAAACCTTTTACTCGAGTTTATTTTCAGAGATCAGAGCAGCAATGTTCTCCAAGCCGAACACAAGAGAACAAAGATAGGTGACTGTCTACGCACCATGGCTATTTCACTCCCCCCACCCACCACCATAGTGCATGTTGAAAGAAATATATGTTGGTGAATTCAAACAGATCATCCACAACAATAGCATGGATGATCAGTCAATGAATTTTTGTTAACAATAAAAGTCTTTTCTCAACCACAGCTTTGTTGTATGACCCAACTATTTATAAGTCTTGTCTAAATCGCAGGTTTTCTGTGTACCAACTATCAAAAGACTTTAACTCAACTAAAGACTATTTTTAGTACTTTTTAAATTCTTTTTCAATTCATGTAGGTGTGTGTGTAAATACAAATGATTTATGTAACAGACATAATCCTGTTTTCTTTATTTGTCATTTTATTACTGCTTGGAATTCAAGACATTCAGATTTTTAAGATAAAAACCTTGACAACTGAATTTCCTACAGGATAAACTGTTTCATCAACATCACTCCGTTGATTGTTTCAATTCCCTTTTGAGGAAATGAGGGCAGAAGAAACAGACAAATAATCAGGATGATCTGTTGGCAGTGGATCTCAGGACATCTGGCATTGTCATGTCTGTCCACTTTTTGATGTTCTCTGACCAGCTCTTGCATTACAGTCCACCTTCAACAGTCTGCATTGCATGATGGTCTTGCAGGGACCGTTATGCAGTGTGACGTGGCCAAACCATGACATCTTTTGACACTTAATAGTGGTGAGGTGAGATTCCTGTCTGCCCACAAAACTTTTGACCTTGTTCTATACAAAACTATTAGTTTTGTGCATCCAGTAGATACAGACAAGTTTTCTCACACATTTGTTCTTAACTACCTGGGTCCTTTTTTTCTAGCTCAACCGGGAGAGTCCAGTAGCCTATAAGCCTCTACTCATTTTCAAAAGACCGAAGAGGAGTGTAAATCAGACAATAGGTAAACCTGTCTTTCCTTTATCATAATCATTTCATTAAAATATTAAATGGGGGAGGGAGGAAAAATAATTATGATGTGAAGTTGGTAATCTTTCCAAGCAGTCCATTTTGAGGAGGCTAAGTTATACTTTGTGTCCATAAAGGTGATAGACAAACAGAAACATCACATAAAACAAAGATTTCCAACAGTTTATGATTAATTTGACATGATCAACTATGGAGAAAATGTAAAAATATTTTTGCAAATGAAATAACAGTGTAGTGATACTGGCAAATTAATATGCCTAATTTGCATAAATGCAAGAGAAAGCCTATATAACTTGTCACTGAGAATAATGAGGGCAAGCTTAATGACTGACTAGTGCTAAACTTCTACTTCACATCAATGGTGTTGCAGATAGGATCGCATTTGTCTCTAGAAGATTCAGATTACGTGGATGCATGGATTCGCTGTTTTTCTGCCAGTGCGAGAAGTAAAAAGCTGTAAGAAAACAAGGAGAAGGGAGGCGAAAAATGAAATTATGGATTTATTTTGGCTACAGCTGGATGCTAGGCGATAATGAAAGTCTCCACCATGACATATCCCTTAAATTTGGAAGAACTGACTTTCGAAAAAATAAGTCCGATTATAAGGAGAAATATGAGACCCAAGAAAAGGCTGGTTGTGGCAGAAAGAACAAAGTTCATGTCGATGAAACAAGAAATTGACAAAACAATTATAAAACATCTACACCATCTACGAAATGCAAGTAGATATTGCAAATTTGAAAAACTCGGACAAGACGAACAGACTATTGAAGACTTGATTCAATTAAGACTAATTGAAGGTATGTCCAATGCGTCACACCGATATATAATAATGGAACAACTACAAATAGGAAATATGTCTTTAACTACATGCATTGACTTTATACAGCAACAAGAACTAATACAGAAATACAACCATCAAAAAAGTCAACCCAGCGAACAAAGATTCGCTGATACGTACATGTTAAAAAACAGATAAGAAAATGTTCGTATTGTGGATGTGAATACGAAATAAAAAGGGAAAAATGCCCAGCATTTGGAAAAACTTGTACAAATTGTTTAAAAAAGAACCACTTTCAAAGCAGTATGCAAATCCAAAAAGAAAAACGTTGAAAGAGTTGAAGAAAATGAAACCAATATGGAAGTCTTCACAATAAAAAAATAAAAATATAGAAAAAATTGCACAAAAGAAAAAAGACATTATACTAAAGGTTAAAATCAACAACTGCAAATTGATATGGGGAGTGAAATAACGCTGATACCAAGAAATTTTGGGGAACGCATTAAAGCCACCTTTACGAAAGAGCAGTTTACAACTCCACCAATTTGATGGGTCGGTCATAAAAACTTTAGGATACTTTGAAGGTGCTTGGAGTTAGAAGATAAATTTGAAGTAATACCTATAATTGTCACAAGTTTTAAAAAGAACTACGGACTTCTTGGAAACGACGTGCTTAACATAAATTCTATCAAATTAATTAATGAGATAAAAATGGAAAAAAAACGGAAAGTTAAAAAACTATAAAGTGAGTTTAAAATTAAAAGAAAATGTCTCCCCTTTTTAATATGAGGCACGAAAAGTACCAGTACATTTGTTGCCATTAGTTGTAACAAAACTATGAAAATTAATAGAACAAGACCTTCTTGAACATGTTCCCCCTGGGGGTAGGCAAGTGGGCATC